CACGTAGGCTCAGCGCATTCTGTAATTATATATAGGGAGGATATATATATGTATGTATGTATGTATGTATGTATGTATATATATATATATATATATACAGCTGAACGTTACTTAAAGTGTTAATATAAATTATATTATATTAATTGTGACGTGAAATTATTATGATGTTCCACAGGGTACAAAATCAGGTATATTTGGTTTTAAGTACTGGAAAAGTAGAATATGTTTGAATGCGTAGTGAGCTACTTAAATGTGAAGGCGGATGGAAATTGCGGATTTCAGGTCATTGCGAGTTACATTTACGGCGACTAGGAGATGTGGCAACTCGTACGAGAGAACGTTGTCAATGAGATTTACAACCACCGTGCCTTGTACGAGTACATCTATTATAGGGATATTGACATCGCACTCAGTCGAATCAGGTGGGACGGGGGCCCTTATGTCCAGGGTCACTGGATGGATACTCCAAACGACCTCTACCCTATTGCAACCATATTTAATGTGGTTGTCGTTTTGTTAATCTCTGGTCCCCATGGTCGTATGTACAACCAGTTCAGTTGCACAGTATTGCAACTCGCTGCAGCATCAACGACTACAGGATCACAACGTGAGATTGCGCTGTGTCATCTTGATTCCTACACACACTACATTCGTGTAGATTTGACACCTGATTGTTCATTACCGCCTATTCATAGTATGTGGTTCAGTAACCGAACTGCTTCGGTTGAGGGTTGGAAGAATCGGTACCAGCGTAAGTTGCAATTGTGGTTTGATGCTCAAAATAATCCCTGTTAAATACAAGAACGATATTCTTCGGTTGTCGGTTTTTTATTGGTATGCAAAATTTTAGTTCAAATGCAGTATAACAGAAATAAATAAATAATGGGTGAAGCACACGACTCGTATGAAAAAGTCGAAACGACAGATGTTCCACACGACTCGTGTGTAGTCATGCGAGTCGTGTTGTTGAAGCACACGACTCGTGTGAATCCACATGAGTTGTGTGGCTGAACACATATTCTTACTCCGTTTCGGCTTTTCTACACGAGTCGTGTGGCTGTGTCACACGACTCGTGTAGAAAAGTTGAACTCTTATTTCGTTTTGGCTTTTCTACACGAGTCGTGTGGCTGCATCACACGACTCGTGTGGCTGCGTCATACGACTCGTGTGGTGTCACACGAGTTGTGTGGTAAAAGCCTAACTCTTATGATGTTTCGGCTTTTCTACACGAGTCGTGTGGGTTGGCCACACGACCCGTGCGTAGACACACGAGTAGTGTGATGCACCCACACGAGGCGTTTGTGGCTAACCAACACGAGTCGTGTGGCTTCATTTGTCTACTGTGAATTTTTTTTTTTTTTTTTTATCTCTATTTTCACAATGATTATGTCACATATCATTTTTATGGAATATTTGAGTTCAAATGTAGTCTAACAAAAATAAATAATGCACAACAATTCCATTAATGTTTTACAATAATTAAAAAAAAAGTATTCATTACAACTTTATTTTGAATTGGCGTAATCCAACCTAAGCTTAGCCAATTCTTCTGCAAACTGCGCTGCCTGCACAGGTTCATGAGCTGTTAAACTCCGCACAAAGTTCGATGTAATGCCAATAGCACAGTCCATCTACTACAAAAAATTGAAGAATAAAAACATATGATCATTATTTATTTAAATAAAATTATTCTAATCAAATAGAACTAACTAAAATTTAGCAAACGACTTACATAGTCCGTATTCCCACGCGTAGGGACCTCGTTCTCGTCCGGCAGATTCTCGCCAAAGACAGTAAGATGGGAAACCCGACGATACCACTGCAAGTACTCCGCAGTCGCCTCCCCTCGATCATTTGTGGTGACCGTATACGTACTGGTGTTAACGGTCTGCGATGTCGGCAACTGGTTACACATACCTACTGCAACGACATAAGAATGCTCAACCTTGTAGAGCCTCGACTGCCAAGCACGGTTAATAGTGATTGGCGTGAGTATAGGGAGAGGGATGGTCTGGATATACCCCAACTGTCGCAGAAACCGCACAGGATAGTACGACTCGACAATATCGCGGTAACGAATCAATTCGCAAAAAAGAGTCCTCGGCTCTATCTCATCTGGCCTAAGGCTGCCGTATGGCGTCCATTGCACCTGTTCACAGTTACATAAAATAATTTATAAAATATTTATATTAATTTAAATAACGAGTAACTAAATAAAATAACTTAACGTACACTGGAGTCAGTGAGTCTGTCAAGTTTTCGACGGATAGACAAGAGACGCTGGTCTGACCTTTCACCCACCCCTTCGTTCCACATCCGAGATTATGCGACGTCGTTAGGACCAAGGGTATACGCCCCCCTTGGGGCCGGAAGTCCGGGAAATACTCATATATCCACGACTGCAGAAGAGTCAAGCAGCCGGACAGTCCAACTGAGTCCCCTCTGCTAGCAATACCTAACTGTCGGTACAAGTATGCCAGCGTAGCCGATTCCTATGAGTAACCCCCAATGGTATCCAAGCCCTCGAGCACCTCAGCTAGAAGCTTGGGACTCACTCTACTACCACTCTTGTCGACGAACAAGGTGGTACCCAACATCACCCAAATCCAGGCACCAACCTCATCCGAAGCCAACTGGCCTTTACCCCTGAATTTCTCCACAACGGAGGCTTCCGTCACCGAACCACGCTGCCAGAACGATGCAATGAGGTCAGGCTTACTGACCGAAAGTATCTCCATGCAGTAAGCCTGGCAGGCCTCTGAATTCGGGTCCTCAACGACCACGACTCCCTCAACAAGAACCCCCAACATGGCCCGGATATCGTGTAGCATAATGCTCATTTCACCAAAAGGGAGGTGAAACGAGTTAGTATCCGGCTGCCATCGCTCCACAAATGCAATAAGCAGTGGAGTGTCCAAGTGGTTGTGCATGGAGTCTTCCAGATGTGACAGCCCGGTCTCCCTGATCAAATTAACTGCCTCGGAAGACATATCACCTCGCCAATCTTTCAGATTTTCCACAGCTCGATGTCTGTTCTGGCATTTTAGTAAGCCCCGCGAAACTCCATTCTACATCCGGGAGGCTAAGTGCCCTAGAAAGTTGGGATCACACTCTCATCCATGGGCCCACTGGAAACTGGACCTTTAACGATCCACGCTGCCTCATGATCAGTCCTAGATCGTTTGCTAGTACCTGCATTAGAATAGAAAATATTAATATTAAATAATGTCACTAACAATACCGATAATTTGTTATTATTAACTCAAAATATTTAATGTCAAACAACAATAAATAGGTAAATTATTTACCTGAGGATCCAGTGCTAGCAAAATGTCCCTCAGCCTGTCGTGGAGGAGCAGGTCGAACAGGAGTTGCAGCAGGCTGTGCAGGAACCGTAGGTCGTGCCGGTCGTGCAACAGGCTGTGGTGGGGGTCGAGGAGTAGAAATATCATCCTCGTCATATGAAGATGCGTACTCGTCAGAAGGCTGCTCCCTCTGGGCTACCGACTCATCAACATAATATCCTGTCGACCGTACGGTGCTGGTGCAAGGGCTATCAAACTGCCTGCCTGGCCAGCAATATAATATCTTTGCTGATTTGATCGTACAATACTATACCAAGGACGGGGACTACAGAGTCTCGCCAGAGCAATTGACTGGTCAGATTCAACTAACTCCCACTCCCTACGTTCCTTTGGTTCATCAAATATAATTTTTTAACTTTTTATAATTTTTTATTTATTAATGTAATATTTTTTTCATTCAGATTATAACTATTATTATTATGCTAATATTTTTATTTTATAATATTCAAATAAATTAATTATTTTATTTTTTATTATACTATTATAATATTAATTAATATAATTATTTTAATTTTTTATTTAAGATTACTTTTTTATTCTTCTTTCATTATAAATATTTATTAATATAATTATTTTATTATTTATGTATTAATATTTTATCAAAAAAATGTTCGGCCGGCTCGTGACCGGCCGGAGGGGTCGGTTTTCTCACCGTACGTCCGGCCCCGGAAGAAGGGTAAAAGCGACAGCGTTCGGCTCTTGCCGGCCGAACGCCTTTACGGGCGGCCAGTAAAGCCGACCGGTCGCCCAGCGGGCCGTACGCGATCCTTGATCGTACGGCCCTCCCCGCGTCCGGTAGCACTGGCCTGACGCGGGCTCAGAATTTAAAAAAAAAAAAAAAACCTTGCTAGAGAAGAATCCTTTGCCGAGGCCGTAGAATTTTTTCGACATTTTTTTTGGAATTTTTTTGAAGGTTGAATCGCTCGTTGAAGTCTCGAGAATTTAGAGAGATATAGAGATTAGAGAGAAATAGCTAAGGGCAAAAATGTAAAAAGGGGAAAAGACGGTGACTAGTAATAAATGACAGTAAATAGTGATTTATACTCCCTCCTATTTATAATATTTGTCGTTTTGGCAAGTTGCACAATAATTAAGAATACTTTTGTTGCCCATAATAACCCTATTTAATGAAGTTAGATATGAATGTTTTGAGAAAAGATGAATAGTGAATATAAAAAGACGTAGTGTATTTATTGACTAAATGAGGGTAACAATGGAAAAAACATGTACAAAAGACCCAAAACGACATTTATTTAGTTAATTGTTGATAAAGTCAAAATGACATTTAAAAAGAATAGGAGGTAGTATATTTTATGATTTATTTATTTTTGTGAAATAGAAGAATTGATTTACGTACAGCTGTAGTCGGTTGTGGGCTGATTTGAAACGTTGATTTGATTTTGGATAAGTAGTGTGATATAGTTGGTTAATGCTCAAGATAAAACGATGAATTTTATGGAAAATTATAGTTACATACATAAACAACTTATTTTAACCAATTTTGATTTATATATATAGAATAACCCAAGCTCTCTAAATTATGCTCTCTGCCTGATTTTCTCCCGACAGTACATATCCCTTTACTCCTGAAATAACCACATAATATCCAACTTTTTCTTTTTCTTTTTTTATCCATGGAAAATCAAAGCCAATCACAAAAAACCACCAAAACTAGCCGCAGAAAAATCCTCATCCTATCCGCCGCCGCATCTCTACTGCTAGCTGCCGCCGTTTCCGTCGCCGCCATCCTCTCCGGCAGCACCTCCGCCGCCGTCTCCGTCCACCACGAAGTGGTCCGGTCCACCTGCGCCGCCACCCTCTACCCCGACCTCTGCTTCTCCACCATCCAGGCGGCGGCGCCCGCCGCCGGCGCCATCCGCACCGCCAAGGACGTCCTCTTTGCCGCCCTCAACTACACCATCTACACGGTGGAGCGGAATTACTTCACCGTCCGGAGCACCGGCAGCCGGCGGCGATCGTACCTGACGGCGCGTGAGGTCGGCGCACTCCACGACTGCCTGGAGGTCATTGGCGACACCCTGGCAGAGCTCCGGGAGAGCGAGGCGGAGCTCCGGGACTTCGGGTACCGGAACTACTCCCTGCCGGAGCACCGTGACCACCTCATCACCCTCCTCAGCGCCGCCCAGACCAACCAGGAGTCGTGCCTCGACGGCTTCTCCCACGACGGCGCTGACAAGAAAATCCGGCGGTCGCTCGAGGCCGGGCAGCGGCACGTCTTCAAGCTTGTTTCCAACGTCATGGCCATCATCGCTAACCTCTCCGACACCGAGGCGGCAGTGACCGGCGGACGTCCGGAGAGGAACCTCGCCGGCATCGATGGGGAGTGGCCGGAGTGGCTGTCGGCGGGGGACAGGCGGCTGCTGCAGGCGGGTACAGTGCCGGCGGACTTGACGGTGGCGGCAGACGGGAGCGGAAACTACCGGACGGTAGCGGCGGCGGTGGCTGCAGCGCCGTCGGGAAGCAGCCGGAGGTTCGTGATAAGGATAAGGGCTGGCGTGTACCGGGAGAATGTGGAGATTCCAAGGGGAAAGACGAATTTGATGTTCGTTGGAGATGGGCGGACGACCACCATTATTACGGCCAGTCGGAGCGTGGTTGGCGGCAGCACCACCTTTAACTCCGCCACCGTTGGTTAGTATTTTTCCTCGATTTTTTTTCGTTGGATACACACTTACATACTTTTCACCCGCAATCACGTTCACTCATTTAACGTGATGAAACCACCTTTCAACCAACAAATTAATCATAATTGTCATAATAGTTCAATTTCACTTAGTACTTAGACTTTAGATAATAAGGACAAAAGTCAACCTATCTACCCAAATTGCCCTCAAAAGTACTTACCCGTGTAAATATATCATTTGTGCCTGTCCACACGTGTGTAGCCGTGATCGGGACCGGCTTCTTGGCTCGAGACATCACGTTCCAGAACACGGCGGGGCCCTCCAACCACCAAGCGGTGGCCCTACGTGTGAATGCGGACCTCGTGGCCTTCTATCGGTGCGACATGTTGGCATACCAGGACACGTTGTACGTCCACTCTCTCCGCCAGTTCTACTCCGGTTGCATCATCGCCGGCACCGTTGACTTCATCTTCGGCAACGCTGCCGCAGTTTTCCAAGACTGCGACATCCACGCCCGCCGCCCAAACCCTGGCCAGAGCAACATGGTCACTGCCCAGGGCCGGGACGACCCCAACCAGAACACCGGGATCGTCATCCACCGGTGTCGGATCGGGGCCACCTCCGACCTCCGGCCTGTGCAGTCGAGCTTCCCGACCTATCTCGGCCGGCCCTGGCAGGAGTACTCTAGGACCGTAGTCATGCAAACGGAGATCAGCAACGTGATCCAGCCTGCTGGTTGGTACGAGTGGAACGGAAACTTCGCACTCGACACTTTGTTCTACGCGGAGTATGCTAACACGGGGGCCGGGGCCGGGACCGCCAACAGGGTGACGTGGAGGGGGTTTAGGGTTCTGAGGAGCGCCTCGGAGGCCGAGCCGTTCACGGTCGGGAGGTTTATTGCGGGCGGGAGCTGGCTGGCGGCGACGGGCTTTCCACACAGGCTCGGGCTTTGATTCTTTCTTTCTTTTTTATTTTTCATTCGTTGTTGTTCTGTTCCGTCGACAAATAAATGGCATGGCTTTGCGTGCTAGATTCACGTTCTCTCAGGGAGTGTTTGAGAGGAGGATCACTTTTTCAGTACATTTTGTTAGCATAAGTAGGCGTGGATTCACTTCTATGCACATTTTGTTCTTATTAATGAATGAATGGTAAGAGGTTTGTATTTGTAATAAATATGGAAGTGTGTTGAGTTTAATTGTTATATATCTTATTACCTATTTCAAAAGATGACTAGCAAACAAGATGTCAGAACGTAACAATGTTTGTTTAAAAAGGAAATTCTGCTAGTTGCTAGAGATTTCTATATATGAAAGGAAATTGATTATATTATATGGGAAGAAGATGATATAAACGTAATTTCATGCTCTTTAGAGCACCCTAGAGGTTTCGGCTCGGGACGAGAACACATTTGGGTCATTCAACCATTGGGCCCGCTGTCTCATATTCGGCCCGGCCCAATTCAAGCAAGCTAGGTTATGTGGTAGAGTTCAGTTCACGGTGTCGGCGAGAGATATGAAGAGACAGAGATTTTTCCCATGAATGAGGTATTGTGTCAATTATGTTCGTGTTTAGTGTTGTGCCTGCCAGCTAATTCCACTCTTACTGGTGGAGGAATTTATTGTGGGCGACGAGAGGCTATCAGGTATGGGCTTCTCTATCTTCATGGGCTTTATTAATTACGGTCCAAAGCATTGGGCTTTCCTAAACTGTATTGGGCCTCCTTTAAAGTTTTGTACTCCATAGAGCCCAATTAACGGAATGAATAAATCTTCCTATATATTAATACAGAATGCGCTGAGCCTACGTGGCTGCTTCTGGTGCTTCGGAATCCTATGTGGCAAAATTACATGCTTCGTTATTAGGCTTGAGTCAATTTTAATTTAATTCCAAACAAAAAATAATTAGTTTCGGATTACCATAAATATGTTGATTATTTATGATCATGTTACATGTATTAATTGTATTTTAATATCATTCCTTATTATAACTATTGAACTGTATATATATTTTAAAAGTTAATAACTTTTGTATTTTTTATCAGTTTTACATATGTAATATATCAAATTAATCTTCTTTTGATGAGCTTCGATTTAACATCCATATTGTATATGTAACGCCCACTTTTGATTTAAAGAAAATAGTAATATTTTCAAGAAAATTTAAAC